ATATTTTCCATTTTAATTTATTCTTACAGTATTAATTATTGATTGAAAGTGACCTATAACATATTATATTAATAATTAAGTTAAGCTATAAATGATATGAAAAATTGATATTTGAACAGGGATATTACACAATAGGAAGGAATCAAAAAATTGGACAATTTGACAAAAATCAATTTTTTATCGATTAGAATAAAACAGTAACACGCGAGGCTTTTCGAAATTGTTTTTTCCTTCATTCAAATTCCTCGTTAGGAAAGAATTGACAAAATTGCGTCATTGTTGAGATCAAATAAAATACTCATTTATATAAATATTTTTTTAATAACGGGTTTTACATGACAGAAAAATAACTTTGAAGAATAGTTGCAAACATGTTCCTTTTAACCCTTTGCATTCGAGGCATTTTTCTACAGAATCAAATCCATTTTTATAATAAATTTCTGTAAAACCAAAAACATCTACGAACATTCATGACTCAATGTATTATTTCAATTAATAATTAACTGTATTTTGATATAAGTATAATTGAAATTGTATGTTCAAAAAATCACTTTTAAATTACATATGTCCCTCTGGAGACGCCACTTGAGCGCAAAGTGTTAATTTAACATTCCTTCTATACATCACTTCCTACAAATGATAATTGGTATCCATTATCACACATTTTTATACTACAAAATATAGTACAATATAACATTTTGATTTTTAGCCTTATATACAAATAAATTTCATGAGTTAAAAAGCTAGAAAGAGTGAGTGTAAGAGGGTAGTGTGAGTGTTAGGAAGAGAAAGTATTGTAGAATGAGTACTAAGCTACAGAATTCATAGATTTAAAGTTAGCTTTAGTTGTTTTTGTTCAGAGGCATGTAATACAAATCAGACGTTTTTTTTCTTTCATGATTTGTAAATGATGTAGCGTAAGCCAAAGTTCTTCCTTATGTAAAAGTTACAAATTACAATACATACAAATAATATATAAATATTACTACTATATATATATATAATACTACAAATAAATGTTATCTCTTTATAATACTAATATAGATTTGCATCGATTATGTGTCCGCAGGTGCACGAGATGGACCTTTTGCCGAAACACATGTGCCATCGTTGCAGCTACAAGTTGGAAGAGTTTCACAAGTTCTACGTGGATTGCTTAAAGACGGACGCTGGCCTGAAGAGTCAATTATCCTGGATGCGTAAGGAGAATCCGAGGGAGAGGGTCGGTATACCGATGGTGCACATAGAGAACATCAAGCTCGAGCCGCCCGATTACGGGGCGTACGACATGAGCCCAATGGTCGGTAACGCGAACTACATAAATTCGATGAGCTCGGTAACTTTTCAGCCAAACAACATCTCGTACGCCGCGTACGCGCAATGCAGATGCTGCTGTGATAAAATGGACCAAAGCAATCAGACCGTAGCAAGCAATTACAAGAATGCCACGGTGTCGAGGTGCAGCAGGCTGAACAACATTGAGGGTTGTTCTAACGGATCGCAGCCTGTGAAACCGAATCACTTGATTAGTACAACGTTCCAGGAACGATCGAATTTAGCAATGTTTGTTAACGAGAAGAGCAACAACGCGACACGGCATAGATTAACTTCTTCCGTTGATATAGACAATGCTAAAAGTAACTTCACCGCGAAGAAAGAGGTGTCTCGAGACGCGATCGTTCATAATTTAAGACCTAGAAGGGGCTCCGTGGACTACGTGGGAACTAAGAAGAAAATGGCCCCTTTTTTCGCATCGAACAGCGTGAAATCAAAAACGCCGACGCTACAATCGGAATTCGAGACGGTTCAGATTAAGGTGGAGAAGCCGAACGATTTCGTCGGTCACGTTCTTCGACCAAGAATCAAAACCGTCAATTACTGTAATCGATCGTCGCAAAGGAAGTATACCAAATCCAAACAGGAGGAAAGTTTGCAAGGTAACGGAAACCAATCGAGTAGGCATAAGGTACAGAACATCGTGAACAAGTTAAAACTACCTTCGAAGAGGGTATCGAACGTGGTAGAAGACAGAGTTATGTTTGCGATAAAACAAGAACAACTCTCCGATACAGAAGACACATTATCCGTAACGCTGCCAAAGAATCACGCGACAAGGACCAGTGATCTGTCCGACAATGTAAACGCACTGCCCGATAATCTTGTATTTAACGTTCAGAACGACAGAAATTGCTTATTGAGCTGCACGCAACAGAATGTCGAAATCAGTGGCGCCAATAAAGTAACCGTAAGGAACACCTTGAAGAGTAAATTAAAATCTGGGAAATTCAGTTTGGATCGGTTCGCCGCGATAAGTTATTCGCCTAAGTTATTGAGAAGTCAGGACTTCTTCCTTAGAAACGGGAAAGTGAAGAAATTCCAAAACACGGAAGTGTCGACGAAGAAACTAAGAAGAGGCCTGCGCAGCATCACGGACACAGCGAAAACGACCAGAAGAAACCTTATGGAAGCAATCGGGAACATAGTTAGCACGAAGAAGATTTCTGCGTCGATAAAGCTGATCGATAACAACGTGAAGCACTATTGCGAGAGTTGTAATATAAGTTTCGTCAACAAAGAGTTATTTAAACTGCACACGTGTTATCATTGATCGTAACTGCTTTAGGAAACTGCGAACAATGTGATCGAATAGAAATGTATTTTCGCTCGATATAATGTTTTCCAAAAATTAAGTGGTTTGCGTTACCCCGACGTTTAAGGTGTCGACGAATTTTCGAATATCACGAACCAGCGAAGAATATGTACCTACACAACGTATTTTGTACGATAGATATCATTACTAATGTAACACCTTATTATTTTTATGAACGAAGATATATATTTACAAATGATTGTCAAATGTTGATAGAAATGGTTATGACAAACGTTACGATATACGCTTTAAAGTTTATGTAGATAAAAGATTCACGAATCGCCTTCAGAGTTTAAAGAATTTATTATATATATACACATATATAGTATATGTATATTTTATTAAGTAGGAGATATATACACAACATTGTGATATGCGGGTGATCTACGTGCAAAGTAATTCGTTAGTTTTGTCTTCTATTCTATACGCGGACTTTGCGCGACGATGAAACCAATTTTTGTCATTGTCATCGTCATCGAACAATTAATTAGTGCACTTAGCTACGTATCTATATCTTTCATATTTGTAACAGTATCATCGATACATATCACTTCGAGTGATTGTTACGATCACCTGCAACTTGCTGAGAATAATGAATTGAGGTCTACAATATTTAAATTTATTCAAAACGATTATCGGTATTTAACACTTTTTACGTGGAAATCTATTTTTCATTCGTATCGCATGAGTACATACGTCACGTTTTTATATATCCATCATTACTAAATGAAAAATTTTCTTTACTCTTATTTACTAATCAAACGTATAAAAAGTTTCAACACAAAACAATTATAGCCTATTTTGATGAATCAATTAATAAATTGCAATTGCAGAAGTAAAAAACATTTATCCATTACCTCTGTGTTTCTCATATTGTCTAACAAATTAAAACTTTTTTAGGTTTTGCAATATCCATTGGATGATTTTTATAGCGTTCCTCGCCCTAAACACGAATCTGAAAGCCAAATTGCTTCATCACTTTCAGTTTTCGAAAAACTCAAAGTTTTGTAAAATGTAAAAAGGCTAGACAGAAAAGTCTATTTAGTCTCTATTTAGTCTTAAAAGTTAAGGAAGAGTTTTTTGAATATGTAGACATATTCGTTTAGAATTATCTGTTTCTTTGAATGACTGGAAATGTACACTAAAATTCAAAAAGGTGCCTATGCAAATATTTTTCATGAAATATTTTTGTATTTTTATTTGAAAAGTTATTTGCTCAGGACGAATTTACTATATCTTATCGGATTCTGCAGATTCTGCAGAACGATTTCTAATTCGTATAGGTCGAGAAAATATTAATTTAAAACGCATGAATTCTGTTTGCTGCCGCGCAGGTTTCACTCGCTTTATCTCTTAATTAGTGAGAATTAGTGAATTAGTGAATTAGTGAGAATCAGGGCCATCGCCACGCGCTTGAATAACCTTCAAACTCATAACTTTGCTAAAATTTATCCAAAATGGAGGAATAAAAAACCATTTTGAAACTTAATGTTCTTTCGATACTTTAATTTACTTTAAATTGCATTAAAGAGAAATTTCTTAGATAGCAGTTTTCATTAAAAGTTAACAAAATAGACAATTATAAATTGAATGAATTGTCAAATAATTAAAGATGCTAAATGGAAAATTAATAATTACAATTTTAACACAGCAAAATTGTCTCCAGTTTGTTAACAAATTCAATTGAATTGGAGTATAAATGAAATATTAATGATGAAGAGTTGTGGCATATTTTCATACACAATGTTGTTTAAAAATGATTCTGCGCTGCTTAACAAAATTAAGTTTCAATTAAAATAATTAAGTCTTTGACATTTATTATCTACATGAAAAGAACAGTTATATATGGTCGAAATGTGATATATATATGCAAATAGAAAATAATAATAAAACTAGAAATTTGAAATGGTTAGGATGGCTATTTAACGTCAACAAACCTGCGGTGAAAGATCATAACGATAATTGATTTTATAAACAAATTGTTTGTTTATGGAATCATTACTGCTACAATTATTTGTTTCCTAAAATGAAATCAGTAATTAAATATTGCATACTATTACATGAATATTACATGAATGCGTTATGATAGATGATATAAAAAAATAATAATTTGATAAAAAATAAAACCGAAATAATATTTTTCGAAAATATAAGCCGAAACAAAACGAGCGGTGGCTGTGGAGCGACACATTCACGCCATTCACGTGTTCCGAATCAACATTTTGTCAAACCGTGCAGACTAGGAACAGTTCCAACATTTCCTATGATTGGTTTCCTTATCAGAAATGTCTGCTGAATCTGATAACGTATAGTAAATTCGTCCTAAGCGAATAACTTTTCAACAAACTCCAAAAGTATTGCGCGAAAAGTATTTGCATAGGCACCTTTTTGAATTTCGGTGTCTATTTCCAGTCATTCAAAGAAACAGATAATTCTAAACGAATATGTCTGCATATTCAGAAAATTCTTCCCTAACTTTTACGATTAAATAGAACTGTCTAGCGTTTTTAGTTTACTATAGTAGTATTACATTTTCTCTCAAAACCGACCGATTTTACAAAATCTCGAGTTTTTCGAAAACTGAGAGTGATGAAGCCATTTGGCTTTCAGATTCGCTTTCAGATTATTTAGGACGAGGAACTCTATAAGGATTAATCAGTGGATATTACAAAACAAAATTCGTGTTGGACAGTATTATCTGTAATCTGTTATTATTCTACCCTTTCGTATTTTTCCTGCACGTGGGTTCCAAAAACCATTATACGGTACTGGACAGGTGAGGTCGCTGCGGGGCGACCATCGAGCGAATTAAAACTGACAAACAAACAAAAAGTACGGCAAGTGTCAAACGACTGAAAAAATGATTGATCAGTCCGATTACATTGCACAAAAGTATTGTCAATAAGAAATCTGAATGTCTTCGAATTCGAAAAAATCCCCTCGCTTCGAGGATGTAAGTTACACTGATCGTTATGCACCATTTATGTTAACCTGCACAGTTTTACAAAATGCGTTTCACATTTTTGCACATCCTCGATTATTTCCTATGAAATTTATGTTTCTTTATGAAATCTGTTTTAACTGAAAGGTAAAAAAACATTTTTGAATTTCATTTCACCCACGAGAATTCCAGTTTCATATGTACTTCATTTATATGCAGCTGATATCAACCGAAGATGATACCTTGGGCTCTTCCATAAGTCTTAGCATAGGTGAAAATTCGATTAGAATAAACGAAAAGCCTAAAGTGGATAAAGAAGTCAAACCAAACGAGGAAAATGAGAAGGACAAATGGTGGTTGAAAAAGCCGCAGACCAGGCTTGAAATGTCTAACGTTCCTATGGAAATAAATACAAAACAATCCCCATCTCCGTCACCAGATGTTAGCTCTTCGATGAAAGAATTTCTGGAAAAAGAGAAAATGTGCAAAGTAATTAGTACACGATAATATTTTTGTGACAACCATTAAATAAGCAATATTGATTTTGATTTTACATAAATTGAGATTTGATACAATACCCTGTACAACGTATTTTGTGACATATTGTTTTATTCTACATAGGCCATGCATAAGAATGAAATTGAAATTAGAGACAAGGATGATACTCTGTGCGATATTTTGGCATCTACCGCGTTCGACAAGTATCCTTCTGATTTTGAAAGTAAGTATTTTTGTACCTACTATACAATGTTTAAGATATATAAAATTTGTTACATATGAAATGGTTAACAACCATTTGTACACATAGATGCAACTGATGAAGACATAGGCAGTATCTTAGAAGAAATGAGTAAGATTGCTGGAGCTCTTAGTCCAAATTCAGCTCCGGATCATACAAAATCTAGGAACTCTATTAAAAATTCAATGGAAGAAGAGAAATCTGTGGAAGAGTTGCTAGAGGAAGCTGAGGAACTTGTAAGAAAAAATAGTAGTAGTTTATCCAAGAGTGGATCAAAAACTGACACTTTAGTACCTGAGAATATTCCTGAAGATGTAGAAAGTTTTAACAGAGTTAGACAATTAGAAGCTGATATCTTTCAATTGATCGAAGAGGAAGTACATAAGGAAACAGAAAAAATCAAAAAGAGTCCAAAAAACGAGAAAAAACGGGATAGCAGTCCTGGATTTGAAGTATTATATGAAAACGTAAATAGCCTGAAAGCCCCAAAAACATTGGAACTTCAAAGGAGAAAATTTGAAGAACAAAAGGTGGAAGTATCGAGCAGTTCTGATTTGGATGATCCAATCGATAGACATTCTAAATCGGAAGAATTAAAGAGCACAAGAAAGATGGAATCAGACAAGGATAATTTGCAGAAGGAAATAACTGATGTAGATAAGGATTTTTTTGAGGATCTATTAAAGAGATCCAAAGAACGAGCGGATGGTGGCATGTCGGGTAGCTCAAGCTTTGGACAAGAAGATTTTTCACATTTTTTGAAACTTTTGCAAGGACAGACTGATAAAAAAGAACAGGATCCAAATGAATCGAATTCTGAAAACACCTTGTTCTCAAAACTAGTGGACGGAAGAACATCTACTGTAGAAGACAAACCTGCGAACGAAATGAGTTCTGAATATCCTGAGAAGGAAATTTCTGATATATTAGAAAAAGAACTACCGCAAGCGAATAATCCAAAAACGCCTAATGAAATTGTTGAAACGGATTCTAGAGTAGATGGAGAAAAATTTAAACAGTCTCAAAGTTGTAGTACCAGTAGTAGCAATAAAAATAGAGTAGATAAACAAGAGTTTAAGCAGTCTCAAGATTTTTCTAGTAGGAATAAAAATGAGTTGAAAACACCTAGTGCAGTAAACGATCAAGTATCTCCAAAACAAATAGGTGTATCGAATGAAAGCAAAAAATTAGTTAACACGAAGGAAGAGCTGTATACGATTGGGCTTACGCCTAGATTAGAATTGTTTGCGGATGCAATTCCAAAGTTATTGGCCGAGAAAACGGTAGAGAGCGAAACGCAAGAAAGTAAAGAAGTTCCAGAAAATATGAAAACAAATGTGCGTAAAGCAACATCCAGCTTCGATATTAAAGCGACACGTACAACGACATCTCAACGTAATTACGTAGAACGTAAGTACACTCACGCGGCTAGCGCGTCAGGTGTCAAACAGCAAAGAAAAGACATAAGGTTTTCTAAGTCTAAGAGTTACGATCAAATTTGTAAACCGCCGTTTAGAACTTCTGTAGAAAACCTAAGAGCAACTAAACATTCGGACACCGCAAAGAAACCTGCCAATTCTCAAATCAGACGTTCACCAACATTGAAGCCAAAGTTGCAACTTACGGTCAAACCAATTACAAAAATTCCTCCTAGAACTAAGTTATCTCCGAAGTCAAAAACGGATCCTGTTAAGACTGGTTCGACTCCCAGTTTGTCTTCTATGTATAAAGGTTACAAAGCAAAGTCTCCGGATAGTTATTCGAGAACTATGATGGGTGGTGGTGATACCAAACAGAATCTAACAAGACAAAATTGGGAATTGTTGTGTCGCGAGGAAAGACATAAGAATGCTCTTCTTAAGCAGCAGTTAGAATCTGAGACAAAAATGTACAAGAGTCAAATGAATAATATGCAGATATCTTTTGAGGAAGAATTGTTTGCATTGAAGAAACAGAATATAATTTTAAAGTCAAAAATAGATGAGTACTCCTTGAACGATAGACGTCCAGAACCTCAGGTGAAAAAGGATACAAAACTTCTACTTTTGGAGAAAGAGTTGGAGAAGCAGGAGAACTTGATTCGTGCTTATGAAAAAGAGAACAAAAAGTTGATACAAGACGCAAAGCGTATGCAAGAAGAAATGAAGCAACTGCAGAAACAGAAGAGTACTGCATTGGAGTCAAATAAGATGCAAGAATTTGTAGATAGAGTCAAAGATCTCGAAGAGGAAGCTCTGAAGCTTAATTTAGAAGTTTCACAGCTCCGAGAGAAGAATGCTGATTGGGCGCTGAAAAACGAAGACTTGTATCAGCAGAATGGTCTGTTGAACGATGAATTAGAGATGTTCAAGGATCAGCTTAGAACAAAGAATGATTTTATTACTAATCGATTGCAAGCTATGACTACAGCAGAACTAGAGTTGAAAAAACAGGTGGAGGATTTGACTGTGAAATTGAGTTCAAAGACTGAGCAATTACGAGTAGTGAAGCAGGAGTTCGATAAACTTCAGCAAAGTGTGCTTCCGTTGGAGAAGGAGTTACTGGAATCGAGAGTCAAAGAAGGTAATCTTCTTGAGAAGCTACAGGTAACTAAAAGTCACGTAGAACGTGAAAAGCAGTTGACGCAAAAGCTGAAAGATCAAGTGATCATAGACAGCAAGAAGATTACAGATTTGAACAGACAAGTACGAGAAATGGAAAGGATACTCAAAAGAAAGAATCCCGATTCTGTGTCTGCTCTTATATTGACTGCAAATTCGGAACAAGAAAAGATTAGCACTGAGAAGTTGAAGCTGTTGGAAGAGCGAATTTTAAGTCTAGAAAATGAAATTAAGGCAAAGGACGATCTAGCACAGCAGAAGGTGGTCGAATTTCAGAAGAAATTTTCCGATATGAAAGAAAAATACATTACACAGATAATGGAGCTGGAGAGTAAATTGTTGGAGGTCAATGTCAAGGAACGCAAAGTATATAACGACATGTTCACCCAAACAGCATTGAAACCTGTTGAAAACAAGAGTGTAGAGACTGTCAGGAAAGAAGAAAGAGCTGGATCGTTTGAAAAAGAAGACAAAAAGGATCAAAAACTGTCAGCAAAAGCGAGTTTAAAATCACAGAATTCCAAGGAGGATGCTCATCTTTTGGCTACTATAAGAGGATTGAAATTGGAATTAACGAACAAAGATAAAACTGTTTCAAAGATAACCAAAGAGTTTCAGGAATTACAGAAAACGAATAGAAGATTGCAGAAGGAGAGAGAGAAACTATTGAACGATAGAAGGACTATCAAGACAATGGACTTTGAGAAAACGAATCGCGCTATGGTGTCCTCAGATTCCAAGTTACTTAGCTTGAGATCTACAGAAGGGAACGATCAAAATTCAAACTTTTATCACAATGGTCACTCGGATGCAAACACACAACGACTGTCCGCCTCTGTCCAAAAGCTTTACAATCCTTTACAATACACTGAAAATGGAGACACCAATCTTGTGAAGAGATTAACCGACGAGAATGATATCCTGAAAGAAGAACTAAGCAAGATGAACACGGACTTCATGGCTTTGAAAAACAAGCGGCTGCACGACTTAAATCTCCTGCAGGAGGAGCACGAGCGTGAAATGGCCACTTTGCTCAAGGAGTACAGCGTTAAATTTGGAGACTCTAAAGTGGTAAAGTTACAGGTTCGTAGTATTACGTGCAGTATCGACTGTTATTTTTCATTTGTGTATTCGATTTTTCTGTTATCGAATGCTCGCACGTAGTACGTCTGTTCCTCAAGTCGCAATTACATTAGTCGTCTGCTTGTATTCATAGGGCCAGATAAACACGCAAGTAGCTGTGATATCGCACTTGAAACAGCAAATCGAGAAATTGAGGGACTACAAGGAACAAGTGGTCGTCCTGAAGGTTGAACGAGAACACCTGGAGAATAAAGTGAAAACGTTGAACGAGAAAGTCAAGTACTTGACAACGCCGGTATGTAACGAAGAATATACGCTTCATAGAACTAATTTGGTGCACTGCTAGCTAAAATGTAATTACATTGACAATTGATTAGTACAATTGAAATTATTTAAGTTAAGGGAACAAGACCATGCAATATTTTTTTGCATTTTTCAAGAGTGTTGTGTTAAAATTTGAGAAAGAAATCTCTAAGAATGCTAGTGTTACAACCTTGAGTGTGGAACAGTGTTAAGTAGTCGATTGATAGCTTTCTGAGAAAATTATAAGTTTGATCGATATGTCTTAAGTCACTTTCTTTTCAGAAAATCTGATAACTTTTAATGTTTGGTTTTTAATTACAAATATACACTGTGGTGACAAAGCAGTCTTGCGCTGTTAAACTGTTCTGAGTAATGCTGTGTTAATGACATTATATGACTGGTTTTTATTCATTCATACATTTAATAAATCCTACTGAAAGTTTAAAAACAATTCATCACAGTTTCTTTATAAACATTATATGAAGATAATTCTTACAAATTCTGGTACAGTGTTTTCCCTCCTTAATTGCCATTGATAAGTAACCTTTTCAGTTGCAAAGAATAGTTACTAGCAGCAAATACGATTAATCAATTGCCAATTGGAATTACAATTGTTATAGTAATTAAGTAACTAAAACTGTCCTTAACATAATTATGTGCATATATTTATTGTGTCTACACATTAAACCTTATATATAGTACATATGCTGTATGATTTCTGAATGGTATTTATGTGAACCGTGTGCTTTCTGCATGGATATGTATAATATGTTTTTTGCATGGAATATATTTCTTGTTTAGTTCATACGTTTTTTAAGGCGAAGATGTACTTTTTGTGAAAAATACACCTGCTATAAGTAATATCTTGCACCTCACATTAATAAAACTCTGTCTTACTAATTTATGAAGTCAGGTGTGTCTTAAAAGTTTTCAGGAAAAATAGTTCCGTCACGCCAGAGATGATTTTATAGTGCAAGGAGTCAATCTATCGATCAATATATTACAAATTGTAATTGATGGTCAAATTAATAATATTATTGATTGGACTTTTTCAATTCTAACAGTTTTTTTTTTCGTTTCAGAGCACAGAGCAGCTGCAATTGCTCCAGGACAAGATAACGATTCTTCAGCAACGACATGAAAGCCGGGAGATGACTCTGCAGACTTTGGTGCGTGATTTACTACGAAATCGAACGCAGTGTAAAGACTGTTGTAAGAACGAGAAGGGTAAAAACAGAAAGTTATGCTATTTTCGACAGGAGCTGGATCACATTCTTGGAATGCTCCAGGAGATTGCTAACGTTCATTAAATACGTGAACCATCGTAGACTAGGGTGCATTAGTGGTGCTCACGAAATATCGAGAAAGAAATGTCCACAGGGTGAAATAGAGCGTCTCGAATGGGACATCTCTCGAGTCGTGATCGGGCATTGTGATAATTCGTATGTTTGAATGTTTGCGTAACGTAAGTTTTCGATTAGAAGATGTTGTTAGCACTTTACATAAGCGTTATTCGAGTGCAGGACCGCAAAGGTTGGTCGACGTTTTTTTTGTCGACTGATTGTTTAGTCGCTCGAGGTCGCTTTTGCAATACCTTTAGATGTTATCGCCATACGGACACGGTGAACCAGTGAAATCATATCGATCCTGGGAAAACTCGCGTATAACGATCGACTGGGATCACTGCCAAAGATATTAAAAATATATGTAATCGAACAAACGACGGAGTTACCGTTTTATCGTAACTCGTCGTCGACATTCCTTCTTGCCAGTGTGCGCGCGCGTGGCGCATATAGACTACGTCCATATTCGGTGTAACGAAACTGTAATAGTCGATTGTTAAATGGACATAGAAATATTTTGATCTATATTTACCGAAAGCAAACTTTTTATTTATCTAACGACATAGGATTAAACATCAAATCGGACTGTTTCCGAATCGGAACTAGTTTTAGCCACGTACTTATCGTTAAGACGGAGGATAGACCATACGAATCCAGTGGAAGCGCCATGAAAACGAAATATATCTTCCAAAGTCGCGTAGAACTTAGTTTTTTACATGAGGCTTTTTCGGATTACGCTGTGCGGAAGCGTTGTCTCGACTCATTCAATAATCGTATTTATTTCCTATTTATATTCGCTCATTCTTCGCCATCAACGAATCGATTTCTACTCTTGAGCAGGGCTGAGTTGAGATCTTGTAGACTCACAAGTTACAAATACCGTGAGGCCTCCGATAGATATTTCCGAATCGTACAAACAGATTAAAGAAAAATTGAATTTATTTTTAGCGTATTAAAAACAATTAATATTTGAGTACTTTCACGCCCTGGTTCTGTATGGTTGATACTAGCTGAAAATGTTCGGATGACAGCCGTATCCTTTGGATAAGAGATTCTGCAATATCAGTGTGTCACTTAATCTTAAAAGAAACTAACTGTGATATCGGCGAGGTTTTGGTTAGTATCAACAATTACAATTTAGACATTTGGTTTGCGGAATTTTTTGAGAACAAATTTTTCTACAACATAGGTTTCAATTTCCATGGAACCGACTCTATTTAATCATTTTTGTGCTATTGTTAATCTGTGTATTATATTACGAAGAACTTCTTTTTTCAGCCGCGTTAGTAATCATTCCATATAAGTAAATCCGTAATTCTATTTCAACATTTCAATAAGAAATGAAGTTGTGCTCCTCTTCTTCTTTCTTCTTCGTTCGTAGATGAATATTTATGATAATAATATATAGGACTATAAGAGCTATAGCGATAAATTAAATGAATTTTTCTTCTACATTGTAAGAAATAAAGAAGTTCATTCGTTATCTACCAGAAGGCAGAGAAGGGTATAAAATCAGAATCTTAGTGTTTCATGTGCCTGAATTTATTAGATTGCCTTAAATTAATGTTTGGAGGTCCTCTGGTTGGAAGAGGAATTTGGGCGGCAGCGCTTGAAGCCCATTCCTTGATTTAGTCCTGTTCTCGAGTCGTCCAGTTGTATTGTATACTCATTACACACCTTAGAAACACTCAACTCATTGTGTCACCTCTTATCGAGCAGAGTGGAGACTCTAAGCACTCACATTGAATGAAGCACATGCATATCGCACAAACCAACGTGTCCTGAATGTAAACAACATTAAATGTCCTTGTCACAAGGACGATCATAATTGTAGAACACTTGTTTGCTTTCAGGTTGTATTTAGTTTTATTGCATCATTGTATTCACACAAACGCAGAGTGTAGTTATCTGTTTGAGACTGGATATAATTCAAAATCATCATTCATGTTTTATAATTACTTTTAAGCGAAGCCGTCGTAATGTACAAACCACGAGATTATGACTTTAATAAATTAATTTTCTTCTCTTTACCATTCAGGTACTTGTGTTTCATTGATTTCTTACGAACATTGGATATACTACGATGAGAGTAATCGAATTACTAAAATTCACTGTGCTCGATTTTCTTTTGAACAATTTATTCGGACAAAATATATCTTTTTAGATACATGCGATACATTTCTGTCTAAATAGGATACACATTAGCTGTACATTAATATACAGGAGGTTAAACATTGTAAGTACATGACGATACAACGCGCGGAACTATTACGCTGGAACAACGACTAGAAGCAAGCTGTGATAGTAGCGGATCGTTGTTTCTTCTGGACGGGTGGACGAGCTTGTTCGTCTATCATAGGATAAAGCGTGGCATCCGTATCGCAACGTTACTGCAACAAAGGATAACATTCCATAAATTAAAATAGTCAATTCTGGTATTCTTTTAATCGACAATGTTAAATTATTTTTATGGAAAATACTCCGTGAATCATAATAGACAGTTCTGATATTTTTGTAATTACCAATGTTGAATTGTTTTGGTAAAAGACAGCATTGTATGAGTTATAGTAGTCAGTTCTGATATTCTTGTAATTAATAGTTTTGAATTGTTTTCATAAAAAATAGTTTAGCTAAAGATATTGGAAGTGTAACAGAACCAAAATAAAGATTATAATTTTCTTTTTCAGCGTTTCAAGTTGTCTACACTTAAATATACTTTTGTATCCCCCACGGACGTTCAATGTATGATTTCTACTGAAGAATAAACGAAGAACGTAAGTATGAAGAATGTAAGTCGTATTATTGGTCTACCCAGAGTCTAAATATCCTATTGCACTAGAATTTGTACACAATTGGTAAAATAGAACAAATAAGATTACCTTTATTGAAAATTTCAATTATTGATTCCTTGAACAATCGCTTACCTAATGAAAGATCGCTTTCCTTGGAAGATGGAGAGGCCGTACAGCGTGCAAAGGCCGATTACGAGTGCCTGGCGTATTATTTCAAAGGACAAAGCATTCTTTATGAAACTCTTTTCTTCCAGGTAATCTAGAGCATTGTTGATACTGCTGGAGATTGTCTCTCGCGACGCAGAGGAACGATTATTAGCAGAGATGCCAGGAACATGGGATGATGTAACTTGTTTGCGAAGAGAGTACAAGTCCATCGAATCCTTCAAATTTAAATAGCTACGAGAAGCCTTGTCTGCGAATCGGGTAAGCTCCAGGTCTACAAAACGAGATCGTTTAACGTCGCTTTGAAACCTGCTTCGTAGAGTTGCGCGGGTCCTTTCGGTCAGTCTTTGTTTTCTCTGGTTCGATCGAAGATCGTTTGTCAAAATAATAGCGCGAGCCTGTCGCAAACGGTTAACGTTGAATCCCTGTCGCAGCGAATTCGAACCCAGAGCTCGTCGCTCGAGCTTCTCCTCCAAGAGTCGGCGATTGCTTCTTACATCTGCTCTACTTAAAGATTCGAGAACAGTAGCTCTAGAGAACCTTCTGGTATTAACCAACTGTTCACGTTCCAATCTCCGATCGCTGAATCCGTTGCGTACTCGACGTAGGTCCAAATTGCGTGTAAGAACTTCAGATGATCTAGCAAAAGGAATTCGGGATTCACGAGCTAAGGAGAGTCTGTTTGTTCCCCCTCGTCGTTCTAAATTGTCGAGCCTAGAGCGTTCAGAGAGAGGATCATTGTTTCTAACTTCTTGTCGATTTTCAGATTGGGAGGAAGCTGATCTCCTTTTAGAGTATAAGTTCCTTACTCGACGTTCCACATCACGTTTAGAAGTTTCAGCTGACCTGGCAAGAAGAGATCGAGATTCACGAGCTAAGTGCAATTTGTTTGTCCTTTCACGTCGATCAGTCCTAACGTCTTGTTTATTTACAGATTCCAGGACAATGGACCTCCGTTCTGAGGAATGTCGGTCGCTTGAGAGATCCCGTACACGTGGCTCTAAATCACGTTTAGAAATTTTTGATGACCTGGCAAGAGGAGATCGAGATTGTACAGCAAGGTACTGTTTATTCACTCTCTCACGACGTTCTACACTATTCAGCCTAGATCGTTCCGAGAGGCGACGTTCGCTTCTGAGTTCTTCGCGATTAGCAGATTCCAAGACAGTGGATCTCCTTTCAGAAGATCGTCGATCGTTAGACAAGTCTCTCACTCGTCGCTCCAAGTCGCGTTTAACAGTCTCAGATACTCTGGCAAGAGGAATTCGAGACTCACGAGCTAAGTACAATTTATTTGTCCTCTCCCGCCGTTCAAAGGCATCAGTTCTGACTCCTTGTCGACTTACAGATACAGGAACAGTGGATCTTCGTTCAGAGGATCGTCGATCGTTGGATAAGTTTCTTACTCGGCGCTCGAAGTCGCGTTTAGCAGTCTCAGTTGACCTGGCAAGAAGAGTTCGAGATTCTCGAGGTAAGTTCAATTTATCTGTATTCTCACGTCGTTCTAAATTATCACTCTTAGATCTTCCTAAGAGATGACGATCAGTCCTAACGTTTTCCTTATTTACAGATTCTATGATAGTGGCTCTCCGTTCGCTAGATACATTCCTGACACGTCGTTCGAAGTCGCGTTTAGCAGTTTCGGCTGACCTGAAAAGACGATTTCGGGATTCTCGAGCTACGAGCACTTTGTTTGACCTCTCGCGTCGTTCTACATTGTCGAGGCTTGAACGTCTTAACATGAGTCGATTAGTTCTGACCTCTTGGCGACGTGGAGTCTCCAGAACGGTAGATCTCCTTTCAGAGGATCGTCGATCGTTAGACAAGTCTCTCACTCGTCGCTCCAAATCGCGTTTAGCAGTCTCAGATGACTTGACAATAGGAGTTGGAGATTCTAGAGCAATGTATTGATTATTTGTCCTCTCGCGTCGTTCTGCACCATTGAACCTAGAGCGTTCAGAAAGGCGTCGATCACTTCTGACTTCTTGGCGATATGCAGACTCCAGAACAGTGGATCTTTGGTCTAAAGACCGTCGATCGTTTGAAAGATCCCTTACATGTCGTTCCAAGCCGCGTTTAGAAGTTTCTGATAATCTAGCAACATGATTTCGAGTTTCTAAAGCAATGTATTGTCTATTGGTCCTTTCGCGATGTTCTACGCTATTGAGTCTAGAGCGTTCCGAAAGATGTCGATCAGTTCTGATTTTTTGTCGATTTGCAGATTCGGAAACGGTAGATCTCCTTTCAGAGGATCGTCGATCGTTGGATAAGCTTCTTATTCGGTGCTCGAAGTCGCGTTTAGTAGTCTCAGTTGACCTGGCAAGAAGAGTTCGAGATTCTCGAGGTAAGTTCAATTTACCTGTATTCTCACGTCGTTCTAAATTATCACTCCTAGTCTCAGATTGTCCAACAAGTTGAGTTCGAGTGTCCCGCATCTCACGAGCTAGACGCACCCGACTTCCTTCTCGTTGCCTCGAGTTGTCCATCCTATAATCCTGGTTCGACCTAGAATCGCGTCTGGTTGTAAACTGTACACGGCTCCCTCTTTCAGCGTTTCTCGAGTTCCTTTCTTGTCGAGATTCAGTAGACCTAAGTTCCATAGGTCGTGCGAGGGACTCTCGTTCTCGAGAAGCTTCATTGTTTCTGGATTGCAATCTGCTCGCTCTGCGACCTTCCATGCTCGTTAACCTCCTTGACAATCCCTGGTTAGCAAAGTCACTCACTGTGCGTGATTCTCGATGATCCAGGGATCGAGACGCTTGCCTGCCCATCCGAGAACTCTCTGTGGTCCTCTCGAATCGCCTAGAATTGTCGACTGCTCGGATCAGAGATCTACTGTCTTGGCCCCTCGAAGCAACAGAATTCCGTCGATTTTCTTCAGAGTTTGCTCGACGAAGATCCTGTCTCGCCAAGGTTCGAGCAGGTGATCGACGATCTTGGCGCTCCAGGTGATTCTGTTTTTGAAGTTCCAGTGAACGAACTCTGCGTACTTGAATTTCGAGCCGATTGTTGCGGTCCAAGACTGTCGATCTACGTCGATCCACCGAGTGGGAAGTTCCTTTAGTCTTGCGTCGATCAACGACAATCGATCGTCCTTCCGTGGATCGAGATCTACGGTCCAGAGATCTAGCAGAGCGACGAGCATCGTCGAGGCTCAGGGAACGAGACAAACGAGTCGCAGGATCAGATGAACGTCTCGACTCGCGGTCTTGACTCTTAGTTCTGAGCTTAGCTTCTGGAATACGTCTGGAAGAATCGTTGTCAATGTTGATTCCCTGTCTAGCTACTCTTTCCGCGCTCCTGAAGTCTGTTCGGGACTGCAGCCGAGCTCGAGAGTCGCGATCCAGGGTCCGCGATCGAGAGATCCTCGAATTGGCCGACGTTGGACTGGTTTGGACGATACCAGTCTCTTCGGACATCTTTGGATCTCTGCTATGGTCTTGCTCGAGGATCGAGCAAGGAGGCACCTTGGCGAAAAAATTCGAGTTTGGACAGGCATCCACTCTGCGAATTAATGGTACGATTAGTGTAGTATCAGCACGGTTGGGCAGAAATGGAGATATACTTATAACCGGGAGTCGTAAATGGGTTATTTATTATTTTTCAGAACCAATCGTGCCTGATAATTTGTTAATCGTTAATCATGTTTACGTATTATTTAGAAATCGTAATCATGAATTACACTATCACACTTCAAGAATATTGAACCCTTACCTCACGATTTGTCTTCAAAGAAGCGAACATGTGTAGAATATTTAATTTAACGCAATTCTGTTTGCGGTATTATTATAAAATAAAACTAAGATATTTCAATTTTCTTGAATATATTTATATAAATGTGGACACTATCTCATTAGTCCGAAGAATACTAATAATGAAATTAAGTTAAAAATTTTCAATTTAATGAAAATTATTACGAACATAATTAACAAAACACTTAAACGTATAAATATCTTTTGTATTGCACCATCAGTAAACTTGCAAGATGAGGTACTTGGAAATTCTTCTTTTTTTAACATCACTCAAAAACAAATTGTTTGGCGTATTTTTTTCTCTATCTACAATAAGGCAATGTTAAATAGAAAGAAGGTAAGAGAATGTGTAAATATCATAATATTTTTTTTACAAGTTACACAAAATTTATATGGTTTTTAAACATTTAAATATATCAAAGTCGGTACTCATTTCCACAGGTGTTAAAAACAAACTTATTTGGTAGTAAATCATATTTTTGATACAAAGAACAATAGTATTGGGTTTATTATTTAAAAATTCCATGTTATTAATATCCACGTGTATTGTGATAATTAATAAACCATATTATTGTGTAGTTCATGAAAAATATGCGATTATCAAAATGTTAACAAGAGTTTTTCTATGAATTTGAACTGTTTTAGGTGCAAGAACGTTTTGTTACAAGTGGACTTGTCTTCAGAAGATTGAAAATTGCATCGCCTTACTCATGGGGAGCTCGGTGCTCCAGTTCAGGGCCTGCCAGACTTCCTGCGCGACCTTCCTTATCCCTGGAGACCAGCCCTAGCGTTAGACAAGCTAGAGACACTATCAGAAGACCGATATACTGCCAAGCTCGGACTGGCAGCGCAACGTGCCTTGTGCGTCGCATCCTTGGAACATAAAAAATATTAATTTAGATATTTCTTCAAATTATAGTACAATAGAATCTCCTTCGTTTCACTGCTCTGTTATGCTCTACCTCAACAGAGGTACATATTGAAGTGTCAACAAAGCTTTGTAGATTCGCCTAAGGTCTTAGCAGAGATGTAGAAATACTAAGCCAGCCAACTTGTGCAATGTACGTTGAACTTCGTTCTTAAAACGACTTTATCATTAGCCATGCTTTTATCGTAATTTCTGGTAACAATGATTGAAATAGGGAATTAATTGTTTTCATAAATTGATTTGCTCTTGCTTGCTTTAATTCAAAGACATAGCAGTAAATATGATAGGTACCTAGGCTGGTTATCAGTAGTTCTAGTGCTAATGGATCACTACAAATGTTGAAAGCAGATATAATTTACTCGTTTAGATAAACGGGAATAATTATAATATAGTAGCGGATTGTTACTCCGAAAGAACTTCCAAGCTCTTTGCTTTGTACTTTAAGGACTGAGTTTCTAAAGAAGCAAGAAAGGACAATGAAAAAATAAGAGTTGACGGTGCAGCTGTTACACATCTTGTTGCAGGATCTGGATTACAAAGATAAGTCTTAATAAATTTAATAATAAATAAGGAAATCATACGAAAGTGATATACTTAATTGTTTTGGTTTATAGCTTTTTAAATTAAACATTTTTTCCTAAACCGCAGCAAGTTTGGAAAATGATCCAAAGCAAGGAGAGAATAAAAAACTTATGCAATTTAATAGCAAGGACTAGGAAAAGAACTTCTTATAATTTCTTCTCTAATTTACTTATAACTGATCAAATAATCATCAAGCTAGTTCTAATAGCAGACGTTTCACTATTTTCCCATGTATTAGTTTTTCCCTTACCTGACCGTTCTTACTTCTCAGCTGTTTCGTTGTATTCACAGATCTTGGAGAACCCGGAGTACTCTTCGTGTTTCTCCTTAGAGCTCCAGAGAACTGCTGATGCTCCTAGCCCGAGGAGCCGGGCTTTTATACTCGCAGGGAGCTTTTGCAATTTGATAGAAGTTTCAATCCACTGCTTATCAGCAGCGACCACATGGGACCCCATTCTCCAATACGCGAAAATCACCGTGAATGAAATCGGACCGATCGTTGTATCGAGCGAGGCGACCACGGACGCCTCCGTAATCGGTTAACCATCCAGAAAATTGCGATCCAGGACACCTGTGTGGTAGCTGATATGTCGGTTACCCGGTTGGCACGTGGGCGAGCTTTAAAGAGGACGTTAGATCGATTTTCAGCAAGTCGGATTGGTCTTTCCATTTCTACGTGATGCATTAGATACGTTAGCAATATTTACACTCCTTAGATCTTTGAGCAAACTCTGGAGTATGTTTCAAAATTTAACCCTTTACACTATAATTATTTTCTTAATTTGTTCTTGATCAACTCTGATTTAATTTTTATGGTTTTGATATTTCACATTATGGACTTTACAGAAGGTTTTGTTTTAACTCTTTGAGCTCTAGGGGCGACTTAGGAGCGACAGTCTTCGTTTATTTTAGATTTTGTTGAATCTTCAACTGTTCGTAGCGATATTGGTTCATGAACAGGTTCATAAGCTGTAAACTGGTACACTTTGAAGTAATAAGATATTTTATTTCTACGACTCTCCAATCTCCAAATGTAGTCGTCTAAATTGTTAGCTCTCTCTAATGAAATTATCATCGAGTCCAAAGGATTAATATGTGTGCCCATCCATAAATCGTAAATCGCAAGTCTATCCTTAACAATCATGACCATTCATTTTTTTACTCTCTACATACACATACATACACCTTCAAAACATTGTTTAAACGAAACCGTGTCCCTATGATTTGTTTTATTGTCGGTATGAAGTGTTACGTATGACTCGAAAGTTGCAGGGAAAATAGTTTTGTCACTCCAGACCTTATGTGCAAAGGATTAATTTTACCATGTTCTAGACCCCCTTCTGGAATAAGTATTTAAGTTACAACACAAAGATGGACTACATGGTATGGAAATCTTCCCACAGGACTTCTTGCACTTTGTTATAAATGATTTTCCAAAATGATATTTACCATTTCGTTCCTTAATAATAAAATACACATGTCGATGTAATGGTGATGACTACTTCAAGGAGGAATTGTTTTTTTCAGACCATAAAAGAGGTTTCTTCATCATTTTGTACTAAAGAATGTATGCAAAATTTTTATTTGAAATCTTGCACTCACTTTTATTACTGTTTCAGTATGGCATACAAATTTTTATGAAAAGATTTACTCAATAATATAAATGTTACATCCTATTGACGTAACGCTATACAATAAACATTAGCCACTGGATGACATTTCTGCCACTCAAACAAACTGAAATAAAACATTTAACTGACGTTCTATTTTATGAGGATATCGATATCGTCTAACGAAAAAGAAATTCAAAAAGAACGTCTTCCTGAAAGTGGCAACCGGTAAAACACAAAAGTTCCAATTTTGAAGAAAAATTTCACGCACTTTTAACAATAAATGAAAAACTATGCAACTTATCATATCGCTTGTTCGTTGGACGATAGTGGGTTCAATTTTGAAAACACAGTTCAAATAAGAAAAGTACAAGTACAGTTTTTACAGACTGGTTTATTTTTTTATACAAAATCCATATAAAATACGGGGGGTAAGGCTCCGTAACGCGTGCACCTTATAAATACGTTATGTACATTATATTATATTATATTATATATTTATATATATATATCTATATATAAATCGTACTTGGACAGTCAAAATTTTTCGAAAATTTTGTCGTCTCCCGTTGCAGGAAGAGAAATCGTCCATTGTGAATCCAACTTTTTGATCGTATTGTCAGTCTGTTTCAAACAGCCACGTGATTCTTAAGACGGATATGTTCAATAATTAATGTACAGTGTTTGGTAACGAACAGAGATGGTCAAAATTCTTATCTAGATACAAAGTTCGCATAACGAATAAAAGATAAAAACCTACACGAACGTTAATTCGTTACTTTTTGAATTAAAGTTAAAATTTAAATTAGAGAGTGGAATATTTTACAATATAAAACAACGAATAAAACTGTAACCGTTCGATCGATTAAGTGTTGAGAATAAATATACGTTGAATTCGATATCTATTATTCGAATTAAATTTTGCCCATCCTTGATCGCAACGCCATTTCGTTCGATGTCGAGTCGCTTCTTTCAGAAGTCACCGGAACTTTTATGAAACAAGGATCGTCACGATCACGAAAGTAAGGAATGCCGCTAAATCAAAGAACGAGCTCCTCGTCGCGCCGGATAGGAGTTTGATCTCTTCGCACGTTGTTTCGTTTACTTCCGGAAGGGCCGTGAAATTTGGGAATGTTTGGATATCTGCTGGCTGCAAACGAAAACATCAATTAGAAGATTCAGGTTCAGTTTGGCTTTACTGTATCCTATTGGGGTGGATCAAAAGTTCGTTTCGGTTTTTTTTTCGTTTTTCTACGTTCCTTTTCAACGAATGTTTGACGTAAACAACAGTGTATATCTAAGTTTTACATTATACATATATAATACCATTTCGTAGCTCTTGAAATGCTCTTTCATATCATGCAGTAAGTACAATCGAGCAATTGTGTATTTCTGATTTCATCAATTTAGCAACATCATGGAAAAAATTGAAATTGGGTTGAGGATACCTCTAGACAGAGCTTGGCATACTAATTGAAATGAAAATAAGAAATAACTATAGAAATAGAATTATTTGAGAATAATAATATCAATTCACTTTAAACACTAGCTATTTCAAATGACGACCTATTTCAAATTTAACGAAAGAAATAATTCTGAAAATAATATACAACAAGAACAATCTATTTTAAGAAGTAAGAACAGTCACTCTGTATTAATCATTTCTCGAGCATTACATATTAATTAATCAGAAAGTCGAAATAAAAAGTTGTTCGAAATTCAGTTTATTTACCAGGGCTAATTTGTCGTCCCTTTTCCTGCAGAATGTCATGTGCCTGCCATGATATAGACTCCACTCGATAGATCTCGAAAGAAGCTCTTCGGTCCAGGGTAACGCCAGTATGTGCTCAGCCAGAGTTCGACCTATAAATTAAAGAATATATATTTCTACTTGAATTAGTGTAGCGACTTGCTTGATAAGTTATAGACGAGATCAGTTGTTGTTTTCTGCGCGTTGATAATCAACATTATCAATCCATATGCATATTAGAATTGAAATATTAGCTAAAGTTTGCCTAGAACACGCTATTAATGAGTCCATTGGTATATTGGTTATACTTTGTAAACAATTTCGAAGCCAGCAAAATTACGACTTAAACTCTCTTTATTTTCAATATGAACAAACTTTATGATAGCGAATATACAAGTGATATGTGTACTACATTAGATTACTCTAGTTGAAATTACATTTCACAGCTGACCAATGAAATTTCAATCACGTGACGGTCTAAAGTTTATATTCTTTCATTGTACATTCAACGAATATTAGTTTGTTTTGACGTCATTCTTTCGTATAAAACTTGTATGAAGTACGTCGTACAAAAGTACTTAATAGAAAAATGTTCATATCGAAGAGGTCACAAGGCTTTCGTTACATACCTCTGAACTCTTCAGGTTCCTCGATGACGAGTCGCGTGAAAACATTATCGTTTTCGTGTTCTACCGTGTAATCCCTCATGGCCCTCAACGCTGACTTTGCTTCCTTGAGAAGGTCCTCGTCGACTTCTTCTGTAGGCCTTATCGCAGAATAAATGGGCAATTGCTGTTGGTTCGTCGCAGGAATGGTTGTAGCTTCCGTTCTGATCACAATCACAAACAACAATTAATAAAATAAAAATGCAGAAGAACTTCAGATGACCTTGTGAAAAGTTATTATTATAATAACAGCTACAAGAATACAATAATGAAAATACCTCATACCATTTAAAAAAATGCTAGTGATCTTCAAAAAACATCTTTAAAAAATGACTTTAGGAAAAAATGGTCTCACCATTACATGCGACTTTTCAAACAGTGTAACTTTGCGCTATAGATCTTTTTCATAGACCCAAAAATAACGGATATTATTTGGGTATTCCCATTTAAACGCTCCATCCTGTATAATAACTAGACTGCGGATCTTTATGCAAAATAAAATCTTCGCGAACGTGCCTACAAAAATTAAACCTATATAGGAATTTATTTTATTCTCCAAATATTATGATGCGTGAACTTTACTTTCAATCTTTTCTATATTATTGTATATTGTTTGCATTTTGTAGGTTCTTGCACATTCAAATTTCCTATAAATGCATAAAGATCCACAGTCTAATAATAACTTTGTTAAATATTCTTGGTACACGAGTTCCTTACCTGGTAGTTAGGAACAGTTTCTCTAAATGGTCCATGGTGACTCCCCTGAAGCTGTGCACACCAAGGGTCTTGAACAGGTCCTTGACAGGTGTCATACTGTAGCAAGTTGCCAACGGCGTTCTTGGATAATGCACCACGAACGCCAGACACATCTCTTGCGATGCGGCGTACCCTCCTAAAGTTGGTTTCGTCCTGTCCAGGGTGCCGTAAACGCATTCAGCGACCAACTCGTCGCCAGGAAGAACGTTCACTTCCTTCTCGAGAGTGTGAGACTGCTGGTACTCGAAGTCGAAATGATTGTCCTCGACGATCCTGGGCAATTCCTTGCCCTGGCGTATGTGCTTCAGGCTCAGACGACGACCAGCCAGATGGGAGTGCAGCGCCACTGAGACGACGTTTATTCCGCTTTCAGGGAACATCTGTAAGAGTGTTTATGTTTGTATGAGTTTATGTTAATTTTACTATAACAGCTAATGTACTGGGCTTACAATTATTCGTTCTTAATATTCATTTAATTGTTATTTTACATTACTTTGCATTTGCATTTAGTTAGATACTCTCTTTGTTATTCTCTGGAATCTTCATTAGGGATGTTCAACTAAATTTAAGTTTAACGATAAGTTAAAGGTATAGACTGTGGATTTTTATAC